GGAACTTGAAAGTTCTGTCGGAACTTTATTTGAACTTTATGGAACTTGAAAGTTCTGTCAGAACTTTATTCGAACTTGAATGTTCTGTCGGAACTTTATTTGAACTTTATGGAACTTGGAAGTGTTGAATGCGGAACTTTTGGTTACTTGGGATGAGTCTCGAGATTCTGGCAGGAGTAACACCTCTCCAGTACCGTTTCTGGAAGCTTGGTCTCAGAACACTAATCAAATGCGGGGTGACAAACACACTTTTAATTGAAAATTTATAAGAAATTTTTAAACTGAATACACAATCTCGATTTATGAGAATCTACCACCACTACATACCCTCGGATACGTGTCTTCCTTGGTATAATCCAGACCGTGCTCACTTCATCATTAGCAGTTCCTCAATTGTATAAGATCTGCCCATGAAATAAGCGAAAACTCTAGCGCCTTCCGCAAGTTTCAGGAACCTTATTCCGTTTTTGTTGCTGAGCTGGCAGCAATCAACTTCGCATTATAGATGATTTCCAACATGCCCGCAGACCATTATTGCATCTTCTCGGATAGTCTATTCGATCGACGAAACCAGCTTGGCACTCATCTTATTTCCATTCAAAGTTAAGGGAGTAGAAAGATCATATATGATTATCTTTTTTATTTACGACACCAAAACTGAACGTGTGTTTAAGGTTGTCATGAAAGGTTTGCCCAGTGGTGAATCCCTGGATCAGATCAAAGATGAACTGGCAAAATTACTTGGAGTGCCAGTACAAGTAATCAAAATTAAAATGAAATCCCATCCTTCCGAGTCGTGCAACGGGATTTCAAATAATTTTCAACAACCTAGTGAACTAAACAACCTTTAGACCTTTGAAAAAGCTAGCCTACTGCCCCATGTCCAAGTGAAGTGGGAACACTTCAGGAAGACTGTAAGAAATTTCAAAATCCTCACCCAGTGCCGTAAGTGCCAGGGTTGCACACTACGAAAAAGAGATGTAAATTTCAGTGCCCTGAGACCGACACATGCAAGCGGCCCTTTTGACATAAGAATCAGTTGAAAAGGACGAGAAAATCAATTCTATCAAACGCACTTTTCGTCGAGTTGCATATGTTTCAGTCTCAGAACACTTAATTTGACATTCCATGTTTGTTTACGTTCCATGATTTACGTCGAAGCTGAATTACATCTGGTGTAAAAATAATAATTTCTAAGTGTGTGTGGTCACGGAATAAAAAATTGCTATATGCATAAATTGTGGTGATTCCTTCACGCAAAGGACGACTGTCCTGTGAAGGAAGATTCTAAGAAATTTAAATGTTCACATTGTGGTTAAAAACCCCAATTACAATTCTTGGGAATGTAAGACTCGCAAAGCAATCATTCAATCTCGTTCTAACGCTGGCAGGAAACGCTCTACGTTCCCGACCAAGTACAAATTCCTCTGCTGTTCACAACGGTCAGCGAGGAACAATTTCTACATTCGTACTTTTAGATACAAATATTACCCCTGCTTCAAATTCTTCATCTATACCTGCTCCCCTCGCTGCTAACAATGTTGAGCGAGTAAATGGAGCTACCTATGCTGCTATTAAACCGGGTAGAAATCAAAATACTAGCCAACATCATTCTAACGGAAATTTTGATAATTTTGACTTCGGAAGCAGAAAATTACAGAAATCATTAATTGACATGATAATTGCTATGCTTAAAACTAACTCTTGCAAAGGTTAGCGCACAGGAAGGCGAATTGTATGACAAGAAAATTTCACATGATGAATTTTACCATTCAGTACGTCAGAGTACCCTATCGAGTTGACAAACCGATTCAGACACTAGAAACCTTGGACGGTGGTTACATTCAATTGTTCCTAATGCTTAATCGAGAGTGTGGTTTAACGGCTTGGGCTTAAGTCACAACTTCCTTCGCGTGATGAGTAGGCTTATATATGTCCAACCAATACTCGCCAGATGTGCATCTCCATAGAATAAACTTCGTGGCAGCAACATCTGTCGGTGTGGAAACAATTACGATGACATCGATCACGCAGTTTGGCAATGTTCGGATAATGAAGCCGCTAGAGAGCAACTTTTGAAAATCCTTGAGACCCAACGAAGATGATAACCCATTTTCCTATCAGAGACAAGTTGACAACTCGCGATCTCTGATATATGCAGTCGATTTAGCGCTTCTGAAAACGTCTAGTATAAGAAGTTAGTTTCTTTGTCTGTTGTCTCTCTTTATTAGTGTTTGTTTGTCTTGTCCTCTCATTTCGATGAGTCTCATCGTTGCCCAACGGTCACCATAATCGGTCGCACTCCAGACGAATCTAGAATCGTAGTACCGTTCATACTAGTGACAATGCTCTATTGAGACAACGAACTCTACCACCCAAGCTCATCCCTAATCCTATCCTTCGACAATGCAACCTTCTAGCCTCGGGTAAGCCTGAACAATAAATTATCGGCTCCGTAACGCTAACGCGATTGAACCTTCCAAATAAACGAACTAGATAAAAAAACTTGATTGTGCTCAAAATTTGTTGATATTCTTGCAAAATTAAAGAAAATTAAATGCTTATCATTTTTAAGTCTCATAATGCTTTATCATTACTAAAAAATAAGACTGGTTGAATCTACAGACTGGAGGTGTATCTAAATATATAGGTATTTTTCCATAAACAGATTGATAGAAGGTGATACATGCAGTTTTCCACATGAACCGGTGCAGAAAGCTCGTTCCTTATCTGTATCCGATGCATAATACATGCCCTTCAACATTTGATATGCAATAACAAGAAAGTTTCTTTCATTCACGGGACGATGGAAGGAAGCAGGTAACTCTCAAGATAAATAATGTATGGCTGTTCTTCAATTTGCAGTGGGAAATCCTGCTGATTTGGAAAAAAAAATTCCACCACGTAATGCACCGAACAATGGAGGTCGTTTGTTGTACAAAGCTTTTTTGCAAAGTGTATGATTCGTTTTGCTTTAGAGCGATGAAAAGCAACATCATTCACCAACAGAAATCAATCGTGGTATGGATGGTGCTCCCCTTCGATTATTACTTATCTGCGGTACTATCACAATAAACTCGAAGGAAAAAAACTGCTTCATGTATTCTGGACACCCACGGTGGGATAAATGAAGTATAATAGAATAAACCATGTCCTGACGTGACGGAAATAACGAAGAAACTACACCCTGCTTGGAACGATAAAAGAATGTTTTGTACAATATGTACATATTAGTAATGCAAGACACGCGAAATAAAGCTTCCATGCTAAACAGCTTTGTTACCAACTTCTCTGATTTTGAATCGTGACTTCTTCGTAATACATGCTTTGTATTGCATAGTTTACTTGTTAAAATACGGAATTGAAAACACGCTGACTCATGAAACTTTTTTGCATAGCATTTAAATCACATTCACCTGAGTGCTTTTCAGTATTTCTAATTTTGGTATTGTCTATATCGTAATGTCATGCCTATTTTCCATTTTGCAGCGCACAATTCATTGATTTTTTTTGTATTGATAAAGCTATACATCCGTTATGGATGACTGATAAATTTCATTCTGCTATTGAAAATCCATTGTTCATTGATTTTCATATGATACTGATTGGTTTCAAACTTGTTTATCATTTCTAAAATACAAATTATTTTTAAATTCACTGCAAACTTACTAACATAAATAAGCGAAACATTTTAAATGGCTTGTTCCTAAAATGAAAAAACCGAATAATGACAAGCATCAAGCGGCACCGGTGGTGTACTGCTAAGCGTGATTGCCTCTCATCAAAAGGCCTGGATTAAATCCCAGTTGGTGCCACCGGGATTTTCTAAGACATAAGTCTCCGATACGCCTTCCTTCGGGAAGTAAAGCCGTTGGTCTCCGGTCTATGAGTTGATGGGTCGATAGGTAGGCAGGTGTGTGAGCTGCCTCCCTGGCGTCGGTAGCATTGGTACTCAGTACGGAAAACAAGATCGACGGCAACAAATCAAGGAAAAAAAAAGCTTCAATCATCCAATTGGTACATAGGAGAAAATAAAAATCTCAAACAAAGATTTTGGCGCGTACAAACATATCAAAAGTATACAACATATTGAGAAATACCTTGAAATTTGAAAAACTAAAACATAGTTAAACTGACCTTAACAATCCAAAATCATGATACCTGATTTTTTTTAAGATCGCGGATACTCTGTGACATTTAATACAAGATGTCCACAATTTCATGTCATTTAATTTACCAAAATTACATTCCTTTTAAACTGAAAATATATGTAAATATTTACACTTGAAGACTTATTTATGCTTCTCTTTTAGTAATTGTGTCTCTCTAGTAATTGACTCTATCTGATTTTGGTGGCCCACCCTGAGATATGCTAAGTATGAGGTGAGCTTGATCCTGAAAGTGTCATCGCCTAAGGTACTTTCTGTAGCCGATGCATATATTTTTTACGTGATTGTGATATCCACGATAGGTATTTGTGGAAGTAAGCATGAGGTACGCAAAATAAACAGCGCATTCCCGCATTGCATTTACCGCAGAAAATATTCACTATAACAACTGCAGCAAACGGTCTGCTCAAATTTTAAAATAAAAATGTAAAGAAATGCATGATGCAATTTAATGTTTTGTAAATTTGTATTTATCATTACATCTCAAAGAATGAAATTTTGTTTGCACCGGTGAATATCGCTTCAACAAGCGCACAAATGATTTACTATCTTTGAAACATTTTTGCAGCGCCTTTCACAGCACAAGGAAAAATTGCAGCTATGTTGAATAATAAAAGAAGTGGTTGCATACCGCAAATGCTGGCTCAAAATAATGTTCTCTTATTTTTGAATGGATACAGCGTGGGACCGACTTATATAAGATGCATTTTGCGTTCATTCTCGTTTGAATTGTTTGTCGGTTATAATTTTGTAACACATCATTTATCTCGTTCATTTTATGTGTCATGGATCATTTCAAATAATATGCATTTATTCATTTCTCTTCCACAGTTACTCGAATATTCACGGAATTGTGTGTTTACTGGTGTGCATTTTCGGGAGCATCGCAAACACTCTGAACATCGTAGTACTCACGCGACGGGAAATGCGTTCACCCACCAATGCCATCCTCACTGGTCTAGCTATCGCCGATTTGTTGGTAATGTTAGATTACATGCCATATGCAATTTACATGAGTCCATATATGCAGTTTTCTCGGGAGGAGCGGCTGACCTATAGCTGGAGCTGGTATGTCATGTTTCATTCGATATTCGCACAGATTTGTCATACCATCTCAATCTGGCTTACTGTGACATTGGCTGTGTGGCGTTACATTGCGGTTGGATATCCACAGAAAAATCGAATTTGGTGCGGTATGACCAACACCCTATTAGCAATCACAAGTTCTTACATCGTGTGCCCTATGGTAGGCATACTACTGTACCTGTCGTTCAGCATACAACCACATGTTGAACAGCTCGGAAAGGATGGTAATCCTTACAAAGCGAGTACAACCGGAACAGTTCGGAATATCACTCTCTACCGAACTTCTCCATCCGAATTAGCGGAGAAAAACCCTGCGTTGCTAAATGTAAATTTTTGGATATATAGCGTAGTGATAAAATTGATTCCATGCATAGCGCTGACGATACTTAGTCTTCGATTAATAGCTGCACTACTGGAAGCAAAGCATAGAAGGAAACAGTTAACGGGCAACTCGAAAGGCGTGAAACAAATCGTCGACGGACGCGTCGTCGATGTGCGGCAAAAGAAAAGCTCCAAAAACATGGATAAGGAAAAGCAAACAGATCGAACGACACGGATGCTGCTGGCCGTGCTGCTTCTCTTTCTCATAACGGAATTCCCACAAGGCATCATGGGTCTGCTAAGCGCACTGCTCGGAAATCACTTCTTCTACAACTGCTACTTAAAACTAGGTCAGTTTCCCAGTGCAAATGACACGGTGACATACAGACCCTGATAAATGGTATCCCTTTTGAGGGTGCTTGGAGCTTCCGGTTACGTTAGAGTGTCGATTAATTTTATAATGTTCTTAAGAAATTAAGACAACTTTAGCAAGTTAAATTATTTGTGCCAAATTACTTTGCGATTTCATGCTGAAGCTATATATATCAGCCATTCCATAGCAAAGCGATATTGTGGTTCTCAGAATTTTGTAATAATTGGTAGTTTTGTTCCTTATAGCAATATATTAGACCCGTGTTTTTTTTTTTGTCATAAGGCTAACCATTTCCATGTTAGGGTGGTAAAGAAAATGTTTGTTTTTGTTTTTTTTTAATTACTTTTTTTTTGCAAAAAATATAACTTTTGAGCCACTGAGCCGATGTCAAATATGTATCAAAATATGAAATGAAAGGTAATTAAACATATTTTTTAGGAAAAATATAATGATATTCAAAATTGGGACTTTGTATTAAAAAAAACATTGGTTGTAGGAGAAATGAATGTAATGTCAGCCTAAGTGGCCCTAATTTGGGCCCATACATAAATTCAGCAATCGATTCAATAGCGACCAAAAATATCCATTAGTACCGTCCCAATGATGCGTTCATCTAGATAAAATTTATAAATAGCAGATTTTTAACAATGGGTCCAATCTTAGATCCATAGGCCACGTTAGAGCCATTTCCCCTATTTGATTTTTTTTTCATAGTTTTCATGGTTTGTATACAGAGAGCGCAATATGTTTTTTTTTATCCTTGATAATTAAGGATTTTTAACACAATACATCAAAAAATCAGCTAGGCGTTTTTTCGTTTTTGAGTTATATTATTTTGAAGCTATCAAGTTTTGGGTTTTTGCTCTTTGAAAAAAGTCATTTGAAAAAAAAAAACGATTTTTCGGAACCTAATTACAAAATAAAAAAAATACGGTTCAAATATTTTGCGATAAAGAACAAAACTACCAATTTTTACGAAATTCTGAGAACCAATGTATCGCTTTGCTAAGGAATGGCTCTATTCCATTGAATGCATGTATTTCATTGTCATATAATTTTCACCAACAAGGATGCTTCAACCCTCGACTGAAAGAGTGTAACATAGTGAGATCAAAGATATGAATTCCATACACCAGAGGGAATAGGTCCGCATAGACATAGGCAGAGGGTGACAGAGGAGGGCTTCTGCCCTCCCCCCATATTTCAGCAAGATTTGTTTTATATAAAGATTATTCCATAGCATTCCGAGGAAAATTCAAAGGGAACAGAATTCTGAGCATGGTTTAATGAATTTTATTCAAAGATAATCGAATAACATGGAAATTACTGATAAGCAATTGAAAAAATCTCTGGGTCCATTCCTAGAGAATTTTGCCAAGATTTAAAGGTGTATTTTGAAAGCAATATAAAGAGTAACATATAAACTCATATAAATGCATAGGGAAGTTTCAAAAATTTATGAAATTATGTCCAATTCATGGAATTCTTTGGATAATTCCAAAAGATTTTGGAACAATTTTAAGGACAATTTAGAGCAATTTTCGAAAGCAGCTCTGAAGTGAAGTTCAAAATAATTTCTTTGGAATATCCCGTTCGAATTATATAGAGAAAACAAAATTATCGAAGAATACTTAATTGATTTTTTTTTTGTGAGAATTAATTAGACTCTTTTTAGAAACAACTTCGTGCCCCGACAAGCTTTTATCTGGAATTAAAATTGCGATCAATAGCGGATTCAATGGTTTAATACTTAAGTGTGCTCAAAGCCATTGAGTCGGTATTCCCGAAATCTCAAGTTGTGTAAAATCCAAACATTAATTTATTTATTTTTAATTCTAATTCTCTTTGTCCTCTTAGTCTCGGGTCTTATGAATATTCCAAAGAAGTTCTGAAACTAATTTTCAAACAATTCTGAGAATTGTTCTCAATTAAATTTATTGCAAATTCCAAGGTAATTCTAAAAGTTTCAAATTTATTCTGAAGTGAGTTCCAAAAGAAATTATGAGAAGTTTACCAAGAGAATTGAATGTTGAGGGTACAATTTTAATTATATTCTGAAAAGATTTTTAAGGCCATTCTGAGAAAAAGAGCACGAGCTTTTCGAGAAGAATATAGACAAATCTGAGCAGATTTAAAAAAAAGTTTTTAGGAGAATTGCATAAATATTCTTTCGAGAATGCTAGCCAATAATGAATTCTTGGAAGAATCTAGTGTTGGAAATAATGGCAAAAATGCATTATCACAAACAAGATGTTTTCACTTAGGGTAATTATCGATGGGAGTTTCGCAAAGCGTTATATCCCGAGCGGACTTTGCGTTAATAACGTGTGTGCTATGCATCGCAGAAATTTTCATGAATCCTGTAGGCTCAATCGTATTGCTTCATATAAATATTTATCGCACAACTGGAATTTTTTTTAATAATTATGAGAAACCACGGAAAAACCGGAAAAAGGCTAATCGGGATTTGCTGGTCATCATGTTAATTTGAAACATACTTAATGCAGTTTGACAGAAATTTCAATTTCGATAAAATTACTAATTTTACCAAGTACTCTTGGCCTAATCCTCCATCATCAAACAAAATTTGCTCCCCCCGCCTATGTCAAAACCTGGCTACTCCCATGTGAGCACGTAGTGAAGCACGGAGTAAAGCGTCAAACCAACCGAAACAAAAGATAATTTCCCTTCAATGCACTTCTCAATTACTTCGAGCTACGGTGCTTCAGCAAGATATAATGTTGTGGATGAGAGTAAGAGCTGGTATTCGATTAACTTAGAATGGGTTTTTACGGTGCAGGGTAACTAAATGACAAAATCTTTAACAAACAAACAAAAAAAGTTTGGTCTCACGTGCCAGCTGATGTCAGTTTCAGTTCGCTTTATACCCATGTTACGTGCCTCAAAGGCAGTGTTCATATCACATTGAGGTAACAACGGAAACAACTGAAATTCAAAGTGCTTTTGCAAATATTTCTTAATGCGCAAGTTCTACGGGTAACATTATTAACTTTCCTAAGGTGTTAGCTTATGACGAATAAGATTACCCTGGATGACAAACTATATGTGTATACGGCAAGGTTGAAAATGCTCATTTGGCTATAAAACATATTTTTGAGAATAATTAAATCTTTGGATTTTTTAATTATAGTCACTTTTAATTTAAACTCCATAACTTTCACGCGTGACTTTGGCGTGAGAGGTATGGATGGACCACAACGCCAGAGCCGGCATTAGATGTTATGGTGGGTTTTTGAACTTGTTGTTTACAAGCAGTGGCTGTGAAATATGTATTTGACATATAAAACCAGTTCTTTGCCATTTTTGAGAGTCACAATAAGGAGCGTTTGGTGCTGCGTTTTTATTAATACTTTTATAAAAATTCATATTTTTTCCTACAACTATGTCTCAGACGTCTCTTCGTTTAGACGAACAGTTTTCGTGCTATGATTTCTTGGAAAATATGCGAACAAATTGCAAAGTTTCATGAAAATTGGATTGGCTAAAATAAAATCGATTCGTCCATTACGTGAAAATTTTCAGCTGTAACATAATTTTTTTAAATTCCTCATAATTCCATTACTTGATCAAATGTTATCAGTTAAGAGATAATGTTCTTAATTTTTAAATGAACTATAACAAAAGGAAGCAATTTACCGGAAACCGGAAGCAAAATAATTAAATTTATTAATTAAATTCAATTTTTTATTTCGTAGGGGACCTGATGGATGTACTAGCCTTGATAAATTCTGCCATCAACTTTATTCTATACTGCTCTATGAGCCGCCAGTTTCGAAATACTTTTAATTACCTATTCCGTCCGAAATTTCTCGACAAATGGCTTCCGGTGCCCCTGAACGACGGAACACCGATGGGTCGCCGAAATCAAGATGGGGCCACAACACAAATTACTCAAGTCTAGCAATCAAGGAGACGTCCTGATTGCCACTATTGTTGCTCTATGCTGATAACAAGGATATTCAGTTGGATAATGTTCGATAATCGACGCTCCGAAACAGCTTCAACAGAGTGTGCGGTGCTTTAGTGACGTCTCCCAGCAACTGACGATAGCAACGGTATTTCAATGATAACTGTGGCCTCATTAGTACAAGTAAGTATCCATGTTCTATGCTAACAACAAACAAACCTCTCTTCCAGGGATATCATTTAAAAACTTTGAAGCGCGTTTTCTTACAGTAATAATTTAGACATAAGCTTCCAAAAGCTGAACTGCGGTAATAACATTCCACTCGACAAAATCGCTTCATGCCAAAAACTCCTAATTAAAAAAATACATTCCTGTCTACTTGGTTGCTCTAAAGTGTATATACCTATACAGGAGCTCATTTTCTGACATAAACCTCATTGGAATCAACCAAGCATTGTGTATTCGCCGCGCTCGGTAAAGTTTATCATAATCGTTGGAAGCAAAATTTTCCGTTTTTCAGTACAGTGTGGTGAAATCAACTTCATGCCACCAGTTGGCGATCCGCTTCCTATTTGAAAAAGTTATGTCATTTACATGTACAGATTCAGAAACCATAATATGAGCAATTACTGACGGACAAAAGTAATTTCTATGCAATTAGACGCCGTTTGAATAAATGAAAATTTAAATAATAGTACGCAGTTAGTGCAAACCGTATGCATTGAAATTGGTAGTCCTTAAAAATCCACGACATCACTCAAAATATCTTGTCAGTGCTTTGATTACATACATTTGCTAATAATTGAACAGCGAATACAATAAACATTTAATAAAACGACACATTTAATAAATCCATTATAAATCATCATAACAGAAGAAAAAAGAAATCAATCTTTGCCTTTAGGTATCCATTGCGTGCATAAAAATGGCATACTGGACATAAAAAATAATTCAGCATGATTTTTTTGCCTGTGCATAAAAATTCAACGAGCTGTTACTTTTCAGAAGATGCCCCAAATGTATGAAATATTGGCTGCTTGTTGAAAAAGTACTTTATTAGGGTTTATCAGTATACTTTGTGAATTGATTGGTCAAGCCTGTAAGAAGTTATAGCATTTTTTGTAAATCGCTTCATATTTGACTAGGGCTAGTGCGCCAGTTATGGCACTAGTGATCTCGTTTTTGGTCCTAGGGCCTAAAGCAAACTTGAAATAATGTTTTATGGTTTTATTTGCGTAGATATAGGAGATAAGGCTCTAATTTTGAAAAATGGGTCTAAAGATTGGACCCATTGAGAGAAAAAACATCCTGATCTTCGATTTTTGTTTAAGAAAAATGCGTCATAAACGCAATACAAATGTATATTAGGGCCACTTAATGCTGGAATTAAGGACTCTAATCCTACCCAAAAATATACAGGGTGAGGCAAAATTATCCGCCGCTTTGTTCTTATTGTTATATCCCGAAAATCGATGTCCAACGCCATTTTGAGATCCAATATGGTGGCCATCTTGGATTTCAAAATATTGATTTTCAACATCTCCGTTCTCCGTCTTCGTTTTGAAAATACCCATACTGTAGGTTATATGACAATTTTTCTGATTCCAGTGGCCGTCATATTGGATTTTCAAATGGCATCGTATATCGATTTTTGGCATCTACACGTAGTCCCTGTTTCAAAAATACTTATTTGTAGGAAATTTGATACTTTTTCGGCACTGGATGGCTGCCATCTTGGATTCCAAAATTGCGTTCGACATCGTGTCGTCTCCGATTCCAAAAATTCCCATATTGATGGATATTTGATAGTTTTTCACTATTTTTCTCAAACCGGAAGCCGCCGTCTTGGATTTCAAATCGGCGTCGAATATCCACAGATAAAAATTCTGAATTTTAATAATGATGTAAGCATTCATTCACGTAAACTTGTATTTCATTTCACGCAACTGAACAACTAGTATATAATGTTATTTATAACAATGGACTTTTGTATACAATATTTGCTACATTGCATGAAATGTCTCGGAACTTTACATGATATTTAATGTAAACTTATATGACGCTCCATTTATGTGCATCATACTAAACAGAAATTTACATAACTTTTTCGAACTGTGTAGATTTTCGGCATCTACGCGTCGACCCGTTCCGCAAATACTCATATGTGTGACTTCTTCTGAAACTGGAAACCAAGATGGAGTCAAACATCGATTATTACCGACCTCTTGATTACACCTGGATTTCAAAAATAACCATGGGTATTTCACAGTAATTCACACTTTCTCTGAAACTTGAATTCTAAAATGAGGTCAGACATCAAATTAGCCTCTAGACATCTCTCCGATTCCAAAAATATTCATATGGGTATAGGTATTTAACAGTATTTCCTATAGTTGAAGATGCTAATTTCAAATAACAGACTGTAGTGGTAATTTTTATACGATAGATGGAGTAGATGAAAGCATAGAGTTGATAGTTCCGTTAGAGTACGGCAGTGTGAAGATTGTATATAGATATTAGAATAGCGAACTAGGACAACTTTTAAGGAAGGTACAAATCGGTTTTTTCATCTCTCTTTACCAAACTCCCCCTTTGGAGAGGGATGGTGAGGGGTGTCCCCCCCCCCGCCACCACTGGCAAAAAGAGATGAAAACCGACCCGCTCATGTACCAACTGTGTGTTTGAAACAGTTCTACCGATTTTTTACCGCACTTCAGTTGTTATTTGAAGGAAGGCATCCAGTCGTAGGTTTGGAAATTGCAACTATTGTTTACCCCTACCTTCCTTAAAAGTTGTCCTAGCTCGCTTGTCTAATATCTATATACAATCTTCACACTGCCGTACTCTAACGGAACTATCAACTCTATGCTTTCATCTACTCCATCTATCGTATAAAAATTACCACTACAGTCTGTTATTTGAAATTAGCATCTTCAACTATGTAAATCGTTGACTTCACGTAGAAGTAATACTAAAAACATATAGTCAAAGTAGTATTTCCTACTTTTTTTGAAACCGGAAATCGGCATATTGGATTTCAAAATGGCGTCGGACATCGTGTCACCCCGTTCCGGAAATACACATATTGTATGGTATACGATACTTTTCCTGAAACCAGAAGCAAACTGGGCATCGATTTCGAAAGAAAAATAATGGATATTATCCAAATTAAAATTATCCGGATAATTTTAATTTGGATATTATCAGGATAGAAAGAAAAAATGTGCAAAGGGATAGACTCCGTTTATTTTTATCCACTGGATAGGTCTATCCGGATAATTATATTATCCATGTCTATTAGGATAATTTTCAAGCCTGTACAGGAAAAACATACCATAGGCCAGTTTTACGTCAATCCAGATCTGTACGATTCAATCCCATAGACCGTTCTCGGTCATTCTCACTTTGAGTCTGGAGTTAAGAGCGATCGACATACCTCCGCCGTGGGACTTGCAGCTGTTGATTGCATTGCGGTGGTAGCGGAACTGACCAGAATGGTTCGTCCATCGAGCCGTGTCTCTGTCAATACAATAACTTCATAACAGAGGTCCGAGCTGGCTAGCAGGAATTCACGTCAGGAAGAGAAACTTCTGTATTCACACTGTACTTGCCGGATAGAGCAGTCTCGGAAGCCCGGGATGACTGTGGTGAGCACAGGCAGCAAATGTCAAGAGTCAGAGAGATCAGGAGCTTCCTCAGTGCCTATCGCTGGGCGTCCCAGGGTTGATGAACAATTATCGGGTACAGATGAGTTTTAAAGATATAATTGCCTAGACAAGCTGTTTGGAAGACCCCTCCGCATCCATCAACCACTGTCAGGACCGAATGAGAAGATCAGGGGCTTCCAAAGAGCTTTCTACGTTGCGTCTCGAATGTGAAGAAGTCAGGAAAGTATTCGTCCTATGCATAACAGACTCAGCTGCGGGTACGGCAGCAACATTAAAAGCAAATAAAAAATACAGCTATTCGGAGTTAAACAACGAAAACCATTTTCAAAATTTATTTCTAACCTAGATGTGTATCATGCTTGTTCCTTTCTTCTTCTATATTTCCTTAATTGTTTGTGCGGTTCTATCGAGGGTAAACCTAACTGTTTCATTTTCTTCGAGCTCGTGTGTGTGGAGTATTTAACGCATGCGCATGGATTAGTTTGGTTTTTCTACTCTCGGTACCGATTAGATGTCCGATGAATGCTGTCGGAAAAGCAGATAACGAATGTGCGAGTGTATTGTGGCTGTCGCCGAAGTACGGAGATCCACGGTTTTATGTTGCGGAAGCTCCCAGACGGTGTTTAGTCACGATTGTGGTACTGTAACTCGCGCCGGAGTTGATTGGCGCTGCCAACGACGATTGAGTTCGTCGATATTTGGTCCGTAGTTCGACCACGTGTGGCCGGAAAATAACGAAATGGCCGCTCTATCGGAACGGTCTGTTCCCTTACGGCTTTCCCTTGAAACCGGGACTCGGGGAAGCATGGAGTCGAGAGTAGCGATTTCACTTGCTGATGCGGTGTGCCGAGCTTCGGCCGAAGCGATTCTGCACAAAAAAGCCATCGAACGTTTTAATGTTAAACTCTACACAAAACAGATTCCTACGAATTACTTTTTTTTTAATCCACAAATGCACACACAGAGCTTGACCGCACGTAAACTTTGAACTAAAACTTTGCAATCTGACTATGGGGGAAAAAAAATAAATAAAAAAAAACTAACATTTAAACCAGGCAGAAAGATTTCTCACATTATTAACTCACATTCGAAAACACACCGCGACACTAAACACTTATCTCGCGCTCTCGCCTCTTCCACGGTCCAGGTCAAAATGGACGAGAAGAAGTTTCTAAAACTTTCAGTAAGGTGTGATTTCACGGCTTCGTGACCGGAAGTGCGTCAATTACCGAAATAATTCAACGACCTTTTCGAACAACGATTCTCATCAACTACGATTGGAAACCGATCAAAACACTATCCTTTTCACTTCCATACCATTTACATGACCTACAGTGTATCGCAAAATTGAGCATACTCCCTAATGTTTTTTTTTTAATGAAACATTGTAAATAGATATATTTTTTAAATCTCGCTCAATCTATTTTAAGACTATTTTATTTAAAAAAGAGCGAACCCTGGACTCCAGAGCCGATTGTATTCCGTTACGGTTTATGGAAATTAATGTTATTAAAA